TTTTGGAGCAAAAATTACTCTAAGACCCTGTCCTATTTTCAGGCAAACAGGGCAAGTCTAAAACAGAGAGAGCTACTGTATGTGTATGTCCTTTGGAAGTTAGAATTGTTTGAAAATAGGTCTAGCTCCATCCAAGAGGCACCTTTCAACTCCAGTACTGTATTCTGCGCAGGATTTAAACCTTCCTGCAGAAAGATCTTGTTCAAACAAAAATCTATGTCTTTTCAATAAATTACCAGATCCAGACCAAATTTGGCAATGTGTCACTGCACAGTCCAGGTTTGATAAATGTCAGATTTTGGGACATAGTGTTTGGGGCATTTGTGGCCGTGGGATGGGGGACGCAGCTGCCTTTGAACAAGAGGGATCAAAGGGTCGCACATACAGAGGTTGCTCATTCTTTCTTTAAAGCATAAAAAAGAGAAGGGAAAAAAAGTCATTTCCTACAATGTCTATAAAGTAAGGTAAGATAGGCCAACCTCATTCCATCTACCAAGAACTCTTAGAAATGATCCAGCCTTCCAGGTGAAAGGAGAGGTTGCTTCTCCACTTTAATAAAGGAATTGGTGGTGACAGTAGAAGGGACACTAGGCCCAAGCATCACTAGAGAGTCAGAAAGCTCTGAGATTAATCATGGGCCCATGGACTGAGAACATTCATAGACATTTCAGTCTCAATGAAGGGAGTCACCAAAGTATGTAATGAAGTAACATCACATTTGCCAAATCCTACTGGTGTTTGTGTAAAGTTTGTGTAGCTTGCAATGGAATGCTCGGTGAAAAAGAGCGCAGATCCTCAGGTAAAACTGATATAATGTGCTAAGAACGCTACACTGTTCGTCTGTGATTGTATGGAAAAAAAGGGGGGGATCAGAAAAATACTATGTGAAGTCCCCACACCTCAAGCTATTGTGAACCCATTAATATCTGTGCTGGAGATGAAATGCTGCTCCAAACACAAATTAGACACACCAAAGTCCTCCTTTATAAGTATTGCCCACTCTCTCATTAACATCAGGCCTTCTTCTACATTCCTCAGTATCCATATTTTGAACATTGTTTGGTTTGATCGGCTGCTTGTTAATTACTTATTTGTTTTCAAAAGTTCTGCACTTGGAGACTGGAAACCCTGACACAGATGTAAGCGGAACAAAATGTAATACCACTTTAGAAGACTTCCAGGCCCATCTACGCAGGGTAATCTGCAACCAAAGCCTGAATAGGTCCTCAGGTAAAATTGATATATAATAATTTTATCCGGCTGTCCGTTTGCAACTAGTTGTTCGACAAAGAAAACACAATGGTTACATGTGTAAGAGTTTAGGCTCATTTGTGCCCTTGTAGTGGACCTCTTCATCTCTGCTGTTTTGAAGCATCTCAGACTATTTGTCAATAAACTTCCTTCACTGACGGTGACTGTCAAATCAGGGTCAAACTGGGCACTACGGAGTGTATATCATGAAAAGCTGAAGGCATGGCAATATTTCAGGAAGTCAGGATCTTTAAGCCATTCCAATTGCTCTGACATGTATCCCCTCAAGCCAAATGATTCATTCATTGATTCATTCATGTTATTTAGATGCTGCCTTTCTTCCCATAGGGGACACAAGGTGGCTCACAGCAGATAAAACAGATTTTAAAACATGGTATAAATATCACAATTTAAAAAAACACTTAAACACATATTAAGATTTTTTTAAAAAAAAAGTTTTAAAACTATTTAAAACATTTAAAAATGAAACTTGTGTTTACCTCCTGATGAGCAATCACAAAACAAAGCAAATCTAATTCATAAGCTACAGGAGATCACTAAAGTTTGTGCTATGACAATCAGAGGTCCATTTCTAAGAACATAGTAACAAAAGCATCTGGTTTAACCTTCACCCTCCAACAGCAGACATTACCTTTGATGCCAAGCCTTGACCTCTTGGGTACTTTTTAAAGAAAAAGTCAGGGTCATAAACAAACAAACTTCTAGAGAAGTTGTTGGAACACAGTTTGCCCCTGACCACAATGGCTGGGGCTGGTGATAGCCATAGTCTGTCTGCCCCTTCATAAGGGCAAGACCATGAGGTGAGAATCTGGACTAAAACAGTCTTTTTGAAGACTGAAAAACAGTTGGAGAACAAGCAGCTAGGAAGCTAAACTGGAGAGCAAACATGATGTTGAGGGCAGTACATAACCCTATGTCCTTTTCCTGCTAGGCCTTGGGAAGGGGCTGTGTTGTGTCTGTCTTTCCTCCCTACCACATGGTTTAGATTCCTCGGAAGTCATCAGGCACCCCTCAACTGACTTACATGGAGTAGATAAAAAGGAAGGGTTCTCCTTCAGATTCCTACCTTCTCCTTTGTCAGAGTATAGAAATTTTATAAGCCTGAACCTGTATATGCGTTTCATTAACGAGCTGCCATTGTGCACAGATGTGAGAGTGCTGAATCACTCTGGACATGGTGTAATGACTTGAAACCAGGAGAAGACCAGGTGCAAAGCATGAAGTCATCTGTTTTCTGATTGGACAAAATATGCCATGTATATGTATATAAGTGGACTGTGTGTTTGCTTCTTTCTCTTCCTCCACTATCACTTGCTGCCACGCATGCTGCCAGTTTGTATAAAGAGTTCCTGCTGTGCTGTTAAGATACCTGCCTGTATATAACTGCAAATACGTGTAAATACAACTGTCTTGCAACACAAGAAGAACTGGTAAAGTGTCTTCAATAACTCTGCGTATTTTACTGTTGCTAAAACCCTAACATCCTTTACCTGTTCTGACCTATGCTGACCATTCCTCAACCTAGACTGATATTCTTAGGGTTGCTACTGTTTCTTTCTTTCCTCCTCACATTCCTCTCTTGGTCCAGTCTTGGACAGAACAGAGAAGACACTTTGCCTTCCAGATGGGGCATTTGTGCTGCCTTCTTGTGCTCCTCCTTGTTCCCTTTGTTCTGGAAAAGAATAAAATTTACCCAGATGTTTTGAAATACACCATCACAAAATGCCTTCCCTTCTCATGCTGGAGCCACGAAGGCAAAATTAGGGGCATGAAGGGAAAAAGAAATCAGCAACAGTATCAGAAACCATCCATAGAATGTGCATTACAACAGAGAAGCAGCCATCAAGCCAATGTTGCATACATACTGTATGTGTTTCTAATATGTAATGTATCACGAGGGGTGGTTGGGGATCTACAGTACTATGATAATAATCAAATTTGGGCTTTGGACAAATCTGGACAATCCTGGAGGGACCCGAAAAGTGACTTAAGTTACGATTGCTTACAAATCTAAGATATAATGGTTAAATATTTTTGGAAAAGTGTGGTGATCTGTCATGGAAGAATCCCGCTAAAGAAAATAACAGTGGCTACTCAGACCTCATTGCTGGTTGTAAACCCCCCCCACACACACACACACACACACATAACAGTTCAAGCTTCAGGACCTCAAAAATGTACCTCATTCAGGACCTCAGCTTCAGGACCTCATTTGCATTTCCTGTGCCTTGATAGCTGAGGACTGATTCAGAATGAGGTGCAAACTTTTAGTTTACTGAAATTGGGGCAACAGACAATGAAATTCAGTTTTGCTGGTGCAGGAAGGCAAAAGCTAGTGGTTGCTACATTTGGTGATTTCTTAAGCATTTTTTCTGCATTGGAAGTGGACGCCTCTTGAGAAACATTAATGAGGCATCTCTTTCTCTCCTTCTTAGTCAATTCCACCTGCAGAATCTGCCCTGTAGACTGGCTTCCCTACAGGGAGAAGTGCTACTGGAGATCATTGGACATGAGATGCTGGAAGGAGAGCCAAGCTGACTGCGCAACAAAAAATTCTCATCTGGTGGTGATCCAAGATGAGGAGGAGATGGTAAAGAGGGGGACATACACATTTTATGCAATATGTTTCTATTCATGTTTACAGTGTAGCGTGTTTCTACTTGGATCGATCCATCCTTCCTCTTTAAGAGCTGTCATGCACCTTTCTGGCTCATTTCTGGCTCATTTCACAGCAATCCTAAATAGCTTTTTGTTTAGCCAGTGTGGACCGTTAGCTCTCATGCAAATGGAACTATGGATGGTGCTGACTGTGGTGACAACCATGTGACATAATAGGTAGGTTGTAGCATTGAAACAGAGGACAGAGAAACATCTTCTCTTTTTAAAATCTCCTGATATATATAATTCTATACAAGGAAGCACAGGCCCAGCAGAGCCTTGGCTGAGGATAAAGGCAGAAAAAGGGGGGTTTACTTCCCTTCCATCTCCCCATCACCCCAATATTTTCCCCTCATGCTGCAGCTGTCCTCATAAACTGGGTAAACCTTGTTCTGTGTGGATCTATAGCATGGGAGAAGAGGACCGATTGCACAGTCTACAATGTGGATGGAAAGGTTACTCAAGTCAGAGTTAAAATATGTCACATTTAAGATAAGAACCTTTCAAGTGCAGATGGGACTGTGAAGGTTTCACTTTTGGCTCCTCGTTCGACTTAAAGAAATCAGTAGATTTTTGTTGCTTCAAAACAGGTGGAAGACTTATTGGTGCATTTAACAGGAAACAAGTGTCTTTAACATGATTGTGAGTCTTTTCTCCTTCTGCCAACGAGTCCGGAAGGGATCTCCAATCTTCAAAAAAGAATGGATTACCATACCTATTGTTCCATGGTCCTGGTAAATCAGTGGGAACCCAGTCTCTCACAGTCTGCCCCATCAAACCTTCTAGCAAGGGCACAGTCTTGTCATTTCGATTGCCATTCCACAGGGTTCATCTCTTGGGGTCTTGATCCTCCCAGGGTCCTCCCTGTAGTTGTTCTTCATTTCCTTTCTTTTCCATTCTAGCCTATCTCTCCTTTCTCAACTCTCTGTTTCTCTTCTCTTAACCTCCTCCTCCACTCTCTAGCTTCTCCCCAATAAGAGGGTCTAGGGGGGGATCTCTCTTCTCCTTCTGTAATCCGCCTCCTCCTTAGGCACTCTTGGTCTCTCCCATAATCCCCTCCAGGGATCCTCCATCCACACCCATTCCCAACTGGGTAACAACTGACTCTCCTTCATTTTTACCTCCCCTGGTCCTGCCTCAAACTCCACCCTCTTTTTCCTCTCTTTTTCCAGCCTTTGCACCCTCCTGGTGTAATTGGATCCTACTTTTTTTGCCATTGGAATGGCACTGTTGGAGATTTCTGAAGGCAGGCAGATCCATGTAGCTGTAGTTGGTCAGGTTTTTTTTTCCCAGGGAGATTTGGAACCAAGAAAGCATTATTGCAGACCCAGGTAAGAAAACCTGAAACATTCTCCACATGCCAAATGAAAACGCAACCATAACTTACAATTCATAGCTTACTGAAGAGTAGTTAGATGGTGGATGTGAAAAGGCCACAGCTTGGATAGTGTGAGCAGCCTCCTGTTATCCCCCTCCTTGATGACATGGTAAGTTGCTACAGAACAGAAACCTGCTATTTAAACAATCAACTGAAAGGGCCAACAGGCTAGGCACATCTGAACATTAACAGGGCACCGCGGAATTCCCCTCCCAGTCTCTTAGGCTCCTCAACAGTCCTGGTGAGCAGAATGGAGGTCTTGGTCCTCCACCGGCTCCAACAGGCCACATCGATGAGCTTAGCCGGAGGTGCTTTAGCACGGCTGTTGAATGCAAGTGGATACCTGCCCTGTCCTGGTGACCAACATGTGTCAAATATTGTTGCACTGCAATTCCCCACAACTCCTATCATTCCATGTCACTGATTATGCTATGTAGGGCTGATAGCAATGCCATGTAAAGGGCTTGCTGGAAATTAATCTATGAGGCGGAACACTCAACACACAGTTTTAACATGAGATAAACAGTGTTTGTAGGTGATATCTTTGAGAGGGGGGTTGTTGGTCAGCTTGGTGTTTAATGGCCCCTGATTCGGTACGTACAACAGGTGTTCAGAAACCCATTGTGAGGAGCCCGTGTGTGGGACTGGGGCTAAAAGAATAAAATGCAAACTCAGACCCTGGGTGTGCCGAAAATGACAGTTCTGGTAGACAGACGATGAGACTAACAGAGGGGGAGATCAAGGGAATTAGGAGGGATAATCTTGGTATTTAAGTAGAAAAACAAGCAAACAAGGAAAGGCACCTGTGGCCTCGCAAGTGTTGGTGAAGTGTATCTCCCATAATCCCTCTCTGTTGGCCATACTGACTTGGATAGATGAAAATTATTGGCCAAAAACCTGGAGGGAAATGCAGAAAGGGCAACATGCTTTTCGCATTCTGCGGCTAGTGGTGGGTTGTGGAGAGGATATTCATCAGTTCAAGCAATCACACTGCCTGAACTGATTTGAATAAACCTGATCTGTAAAAAAAAAATAAAAAAAAATAAAGATAATAGTAATAATAATCAAAGCAGAAGCCCTGCCAGTGGAGGCAAAAACTACAGATGGTGGGAGGATTCTGGACTTAATTCGCTTTTGTGTATTGTGGTCCAGAACAAAACAACAACAAAAAAATGAGAATCAGTCCGGGAGCATTTCCTGCAGTGATCACACAACAGAAGGAGAATATCGCTTATTTGTTGCTTCAAGTACTTTTCTGCTTTCTACAGGAGTTCCTAAAGAAAAATATAATGCCTGATATTCAGTACTGGATTGGACTCTTCTATCTGCCAGAGGTGAAGTGGACATGGGTTGCACATTCCCAGTTTAAACCAGATCTGTGAGTTTATTTCTCAACACCTTTGTTTTCTCAGTTGAAGCAGGAAAGTTTAGCATTATTAAATCTGATTTGATCTGAAGGTAACTGCTTATGCATGCATCTAGATTAAGATGCCAATTGGGATGTACATGGTAAAAACTTTTGTTTTGGTTTCATTTTGGTTTCTTACAATGGATGCCTCCACCAGTTTTGTGTGTTCTATGCACTGCTCATTTTTATAACAATAGGAACACATCTTTCAAATCATTTTGATTTGAAAGTCTTTTTCTAATAAATCCAGCTGCTCAGAAGCCACTACCCCCAGCCTCCATCCCACAACAAGGGTGTCTGGCCCAATCTCCCTCCGGCGATGGATGGTTGAAGGAAGGGTCTAGCCTAATCACCTTCCTTGAGTGACCTTGTCCCCACGGAAAGACCACAACCGTCCATTCTAGAGCTTTGGCCGATGTCCCCTTTTCTTTAGACTTGTCCGGGTGAGGTAGCAACCCTCCTACCTTCAAATTCGGGAAGTCCTCCAACAACCCACATGTTATATCATATTCGTATTCTCTTTTCTCCCCCTCTTTTTCCTTCCCTTCCTTCTTTCTCTCTCTCCTTGGTACACTGAACTGTTTCCTCCTCCCACATGGGCAAAATCAATTCTTCCTCCCCTTCTCCCTCTGTCTTTCACTACAATCCTCTCCTCTTTCTCCTTTGATTCCGTTCTTTTCCCTTCCTCCACATTCAACTCCTCACTTTCTGTTGTCTTTCCTACTTCTATATCTCTCTCCCGCTCAGACATCTCTAGCTGAGGGGATGGCTCACTCTGTTCTTTCTCCTTTGGGTCCACTGCTCCTTCACAGTCACGGACACAGATCTCTGCTCCCCCCGTGCATGCATGCACTGTGGGCATCGCGCTCATGGGTGGGCATGCCATACTCACGGGCATGTGCGGAAATGTGACATGCCCCTCTGCAAGTGTGCCATGCCCCCCGCAAGTGTGGGGTGCCCCCACCCACCCCCCTGTGCACAGAGCCCGCACTCTCAACCGGTCCACAATCCCAAAAAGGTTGGAGACTGCTGTTTTAGAGGAAGGGAGGAAACCCACCTTGAATTGCATTTCAGTACCATACCCCACCACACCCCCAAAATAATTTATAATTATAGAATGTAACAAAGTTCTACTCAGTCTGGGCTTCCCCTCCCTTCTCCCCCACCCCAAATAATCATACTAGGGAGCTGCAGCTAGTTAAGGCCTCAGTGGGGGAGGGGGAGAGAGGGATCTGTGAGGCAAAAAAAATTGTGTTTCTGTGGGGAAACGCCTCCAAAGGAAGGAAAGGTGGAGCTTAAAATCATGTGTAAACCTTGTTGAGCTGGAGCTCAGCAAGGAGAGTGGATGATTAATAATATAAGAGCCTTGTGACGCAGTGGTTAAACCGCTGTACTGCAGCTAAAACTGTGCTCACGACCTGGGGGTCAATCCCAGGTAGCGACTCAAGGTTGACTCAGCCTTCCATCCTTCCCAGGTCGGTAAAATGAGTACCCAGCTTGCTGGGGGGGGGGCAATGTGTAGCCTGCATAATTAAATTGTAAACCGCCCAGAGAGTGCTTGAAGCGCTATGGGGCGGTATATAAGCAGCACGCTTTGCTTTTTTGCTTCGCTTTTGCTTTTGCAAAGAAAGGGAGTGGCAGGAGAATGAAGGGAGGGAAAAGGAGACGATTTGCTCAGCCAGGGGAGGTGGGTCACTGGGGGCTGGTAGGATGTGGCCAGCCGGAAGAGAAAGGGAAATATGGTGGAAAAGAATGAAGGCAGGCAAAGTTTTTGGTTGGGAGGGTCGTGTGGAGGTGGCGGGAGCTTGGATTGCAGAGAAGGTGGAGGCCTGAAAACATGGAAGGCGGGAAGGAAGTGGAGAGGGAGGGAAGGCTGCGCATTTAATTTAATTAAGAGGCAGTTGTGGGAGTAGCTTGGTGGTGGGGGGGAGAAGGGTGGTTGGAGGGAGCCCTTGTGAGTCGAACCAGGCTGCCTCTTCCCCCCCCCCC